TGTTAAACTGTAATGTATTTCTGTGATGTGCAGCTGTATTTTCAGCATCATTCCTCCAGTCTTCAGTGTCACATGATCTTCAGAAATCAGTATAATATGCTGATCTGCTGCTCGAGAAACATTTCTGATTACTATTTCTTAATATTATAATTATTTATGCAGTTATAACTCTTGTTATTTGGCCATTAAGTTTTAATGAATTGATTCAAAACTGATTCACGAACTTGTTAATGTCAAAAAAATTAAAAATGTTGACAGAAATCATTATAAAATATTAAAATATTTTAGTGGAATATGCGATTAAATACTGCATTAAATCCACAATTATTGATACTTATTACTATGTGTTGTTGTATTATTGCATATAAATGAATATATTTAAATATTCTTCCCTGGGATCTTTTATAAAAAAAAAAACTTTGAAATATAGTTTAAACATTGAATTTAATATTTCATATATATTATTGAATTAAATATGAAAATATTGATATTTATTACTGTGTTGTTGTGTAGTTGCAAGTAAATGAATATAATTAAATACTGATTCTTTAAATATTTTGTTTAATATTTAATATATTTGATTGCATTAAATATGCAAGTATTAATACTTGTTATTGTGTTGTTGTATGTAAATATAAATATTGATTAAATATTGATCTATGAATGAATTTATCAAAAAACATGAAAAACAAATTAAATTAAAAATGTAATGAATTAAATATGCAACACACACACATATATATCTATAAATATCTCTCTCTCTCTCTCTATATATATATATATATACACACATTTAGTTTTTTATTTAAGTGAAAATAATTTTTTTTTATTATAACATTATATACATTATATAAAAAACGATATCACTGAAATGTATTAAAAAAAACAATTAAACTACTTGTTGACAATCATTTTAAATAATTTCAGAGCAAATGCATAAATATTGCAATACATATTTAATATTATCAAAAGGTTTAAAATGAGTGAAATTAATCTCCTATATAATCCAGCTCTACTCTCAAAATAAATGACAAATAACAGCCTCTGCCAGTATCTGAGCTCAAGCGCTGTTTAATGACTGTGTGTGTGTGTGTGTGTCTGTGTCTGTGTCTGTGTCTGTGTCTGTGTCTGTGTCTGTGTCTGTCTGTCTGTCTGTGTGTGTGTCAGGCTGTACAGATGATATCGTCACCAGCGATCACTCGCCGGTCTTCGGCACGTTTGAGGTGGGCGTCACGTCTCAGTTCGTCTCTAAGAAAGGTACGGCGTGTGTTTTCACGGCTCAGTTTCTGTTGTTTGTCACAGGTTTCTCACGTCGAGCTGCTCTTCCTCCGCAGGTCTGCCCAAGTCTTCAGAACAGGCCTACATCGAGTTTGAGAACATCGAAGCCATCGTCAAGACGGCCAGCAGAACCAAGTTCTTCATTGAGTTTTACTCGACGTGTCTGGAGGGTAAGAAACCAAATCATCCATGAGAATGAGGAAGCTCATATGTGAAAGTGTTTATAATAACATTCATCGTTATCACTGGCTGAAATCTCTGATCGCTACGTGTGTCTGTTAAAGAAAATGAAAAGCATTCAGATGCACTGAACGTCCTTGTTTCTGGGTGAAACTGAATATTCAGCAGGACATTGTGTGGACTGAGACCGATGCTGTTATTGTGAACTAAAACTATTGCAAATCATTTTTGGTAACTGAAATAATAGTTTTTTTTTATATTAGATGAAAACCCTCAAAATTACAAATGTTGCATTTGGCAACTGAGCAAAATAAGTAAGTTTAAGTTATAAAATTACTAAATAAAACTGAGAAAAAAAACTGGAAAAAACCTAACTGAAATAAAAAAAAACAAATATATATATATATATATATATAAATAAAAAATAAATTAAAGCTAAATGGAAAAAATAAATATAAATAATAAATTAAAAACAAAAGTAATAAAAATGACAAAAGCACATGACAAAATTGATAAAACTTAAAATAAAATGATAACCTTAAAAAATTGAAATGAAAATTAGAAATGTTACATTAGCGATTAACCGAAACAAAGACGTTTAAGTTCCAAAATGACTAAAACTGATAGAAATATAGACAGATGGACGGATGGACAGACAGAGACAAACAGAAATATACTTACAGATAAACATGAGAATAAAAAATAAATTAAAGCTAAATGGAAAAAATAAATATAAATAATAAATTAAAAACAAAAGTAATAAAAATGACAAAAGCACATGACAAAATTGATAAAACTTAAAATAAAATGATAACCTTAAAAAATTTAAATGAAAATTAGAAATGTTACATTAGCGATTAACCGAAACAAAGACGTTTAATTTCCAAAATGACTAAAACTGATAGAAATATAGACAGATGGACGGATGGACAGACAGAGACAAACAGAAATATACTTACAGATAAACATGAGCAAAAACTAATATCAATAGCAAAATACAAAGTTTACACTAAAATGAAAACTGAAAATGGAAAAAAAGCTAATTCAAAATATTAATACATACTATAATAGTATATAAATAATACTAAAATAAGACTGGCTGGGGCTTGATTGAGGGTGAAACATGTTAGACTCATATTATTAGATGTGTTTTCTAATGCACAAATCACTATTATTACTGCTCTCTGTCTGTCTGTCTGTCCATCTGTCTGTCTCTCTGTCTGTCCGCCTGTCTGTCCGTCCGTCCGTCTGTCTCTCTGTCCATCTGTCCGTCCGTCTGTCTCGCTGTCCATCTGTCTGTCTGCCTGTCTGTCCGTCCGTCTGTTTCTCTGTCCATCTGTCTGTCCATCTGACTGACTGTCTGTCCATCTCTCTGTCTGTCTGCCTGTTTGTCCGTCCGTCTGTCCATCTGTCTGTCTGTCTCTCTGTCCATCTGTCTGACTGTCTGTCCATCTCTCTGACTGTCTGTCTCTCTGTCCATCTGTCTGTCCATCTGT